ATGTGTAGCTTCAACTGGTTTTCTAGCTGCTGACAGGCTGCATAAATCACTGTTTCCACCACAGCTAGGGTTTCAAACACACACACACACTCACACACATATTTACCCATAGATCTGGTCTTTGTGGTGTTTGAGGGAGTCGGGGATGGTGGGTCCGTACTGTGGGGGATGAAGCGGCCTGACATCATCCCCGTACCCCCCCACCGACATGCCCTCCGACCCTGAGTAGTGCACCAGCTCTTCATACTGAAACACAATTAGACGGAAAGACAGAAAACATGAGACACGTTCGACATCTGCGCCTGTCTGACATCGAATCTTATTGTGATTTTATTATGTGGCTGAGCTGTCAGGGGGCTTCAGCGCCGCGGCTTACTGGACCAGCGCTCGGTCAGGAGAGCTGATGTGGTTTTACATCTGGAGCAGAGTCTGAACTGCTGCTGTTATATCAGTATGTACTGCTGCCTGGTGTTTCTGTATATAGTTGTACATACCGTGTATGTACTTGTGCTGCAGCTAACTTCATTTTCATTACTGAAAAATTAGATGATTATTTTCTCAATTAATGGATTAATCATTTTTGTTTATAAAATGTGCACCACAGTTACGCAGAGCTCAAACCGCATAAAACGTGGAGAAAACTTAGAAAAAATCATCACAATTGTTGTAGATTAATTTTCTGTTGATCCAGTAATTGATTAATGGACTAATTGTGTCAGCTTTTATGTATGTACATGCATATGTATTTGTAGATTTTAGTGGCAGTAGTATTGTAGTGGGAAAACAGTAATTAATCAGTCCAATCAATCCAGTTATTAATCATTCAAACTGAACAAAAACACCAAAATCAACAAAAATAAAGAGTCAGAAAAGCATAGACTTCTTTTTACTTTAATCATCTGTCTAATACTTCCAATAATATACTGCAGTTATAGTATACTACTGCCCAAAGTGTGTGTGTGTGTTTGTGTGGAGCAATACAGCAGTTGTTCCAGTTTCTTCATGAGAAAAACCTTGGTGATCTCTCTGTGTTCGCTTCAGTTGAAGATTTACATGCTGCTGAAAATTCTACCACTCTCAGGATTATGAATAAAACCTCTCTAAAGCGCTTGGATAACCTCAAAAATGCAGAGCGAGTCAAGATGAAAAAGCAGCTTTTTTTTCCTCGCTTCTTGAGAAGTGTAGTGTCTGGTGCTTAAAAAGAAAAGAGAGGGATGAGATCCCCTGAGAAAGACACGTTGAGCCTGTAGCTGCTAATATCGTCCCCTGCCTCCTCAACTCTAGACTAGACAGGAGCCGTGCTGAGACGTCCCTCACAACCCGCTGTGACAGCCTCGCTGGGGCCCGCTCACACACACTCTGACACGGGATGGATCAGACACACATATGGTACGCTCCCAAACACAATGACACGCACGCACAGATACATCCAGGGACAAACGTACCCACGGCAGCACTCACACACACAGCCTCATATACATGTCTGACTCCCTTGTTTCTCCTTGTCTCCCTCTCTCTCTCTCTTTCTCTCTCTCTCTCTCTCTCTCTCTCTCTTTCTCTCTGTGTTACGGAGCTAATTTGTGCTTCACTGCAGCTTCTGTCTCTGAGGCAACGTTGCTCAGGTCAGCAGATCTGCTTCTGTTTCTCTTTCTGCTGGATTAAAAGCGACTCCCGCCGCAGTCCCATGGGGCCACTGAGATCACAGACAGTCAGCACCTGCTAGGTGGCCTGGCCCGGACACCTTTCACTCTTGTGTTATTTTAACTGAGCCATAAAAGTTATGATCTGCTCAGCCTAGTTTTTTCTTTCTGTGGACACTACTCGCCAGGCAGGCAACCACAAGAGGTTATGATTTACTCCAGAAGTGTGTGACTGGAGTACATTGATTTGTTCTTTCAGATTTCAACATTCAAACCATACTCCTGTTTATTAGTCACACTTGTTTACATCATCAGGAATCCAGATATCACACAGATGGCGAGCTTTTTATCCAAGAGTCCAATTGGAGATGTTTTTTGTTGTTATGTGCAACAGTGAAACCCAACACAATTATTCGTTCATATTGTCTCCATCCTGACCTCTGGGAATTAAATAAAAGAGAAATTAAATTATTCCTCTTCATGTGCCCACACTGCCCTCCTGGAAACCCCTCTGCAGGACCTCTGGAGGTCTCTGGACCCCACTTTGGGAACCACTGTCCTAAATGGCTTATCAAATTATTGTATGTCAGAGTCCCATATGGCCACCAGGATCACAGAAAGCACCTGCTCTGAGGCCCTGGCCCGGGACACCTTCTAGTTTTTATGGAGGCTGGCTATTAACACAATCACCGCTATCGGATTGCGCGTCTCTCTTTACGCACGGCCCCTATCGAGTTTCTGTGCGTCAGGCGGATCAAAGCGCACAAGTCGAGATGACAAATTCCGCGAATTTTCACTTTTTCTAACAGTCACGGAGGTGGTCAACAGGCTTCAGATGGCAGGACAACATCTTCATAACAACTTTTTAATTGTGTTGTTTTAACCGACGCAGAAAAGTTGCCATAGTCCTAACAGGCGGGTTTAGGTTACTTCTGCTATGGGAAGACAAATCCACAGCGTCACAAACATCATGAGCTGCAGGATTGACGTCGTTTAACTTTGATAAACTGGAATGAAAATGTGTAAAATAAATAGTAAAACACGAAAACTGAAAATCCACAGCTTCCAGTCACATTTCAGACGCTCTAAAAAGTCTCAACTCAATTAATAAACTCCCATTACAATTAATTAAGAATGACCGGTCTTTTTTTAAACTTAGCAAATATCTAAAATATATTATAGTGCAATTGTTCTTATCTAAAAATGCTGCCCCTTTTTTCTACAATAAAATTAATTGTGCAGAAAACAAGCAAAACCAATTCAAATTCATTTGTTTTCTCAGTGCGTCAATTCAGTAAAACGGTGAATTTGTTTAAAGATTTTTTTCGCATCAAGAAGTTAAAATGTCAAACATACACTTTGATGAATTTGCCGTAAGTTTCGTAGATTTTCTGCACTTTAATAAACCAGACATTCACATTACATGGACACACCGTATTTAACAAGTAATTGTGGGTTTGTAAAAGTTCCCTAAGGTTTAAATAATGTTTGACACAGCAGTATTTTAAGCAGGTGAAAACTAAAAAACACAACAAAACAGTTGTTGCAGATTTCAGTTCTGCCTCTACAGTCCCACTAAACAACTGAAACTTTTTAAAACTCGCGAAATCTGGTTTCCGCGTGTGTTTTCAACAAACACACTTTAAATCACCGAACTGCATTTGATTTCCTTCAAATTTTGCACTAAAGCTTTAGTTTATTGCACAGCGTCAGAACTGTAAAAAAAAACCACACACACACACAAAAAAAACAATCTAAGGTGAATGGGACAGTGAAACAGACTATAACATCCATTCTTCTCTTTTAGGATTCAGCATAAAAGATAATTACACTCATAAAAGATCAATATATTCACAGTTTATCCAGGAAGTAAATTTATATTATCAATGCTTTTTGGTTTCGAATAACTTTATTTAAACTCTGTTTTGAAGCTGCTGTTTGGTGGAGTTGGTTCAGTGTGTGTGTGTGTGTGTGTGTGTGTGCGCACGCGCTAATTTGTTTGTGTGTGTTTGTGGACTTTCCCTCAGCTCTCTTCTCTCCTCCTGCTCTGTTTTCATACAGCAGTGATTTTCTGTCTTCACATTGTACAACCCTAATTGCTCTCTTCTACTTGGGTCTCAGTCCGCCTGCTGCCCGCCAGCCTCTGCCTGCCTCTCCTCCTCCTCCTCCTCCACCACCACCACCACCACCACCACCACCATGCCTCTGAATCACTGTAGCAAAAACACTGACCTACTTACCGAGTTGAAGAGCTGCATCTCCTCTCCTCTGCCTCTTAATGACCTACACCACTCTCTAACCCTTATGTGCCATTATAACGCCTGACTGACATCACACAACAATAAATCCATAATATTTAAAGGAGAGGGTGAAATATTAGATCTAGATCAACAGTTCCTTGTTGAGTGTTTTGAGGGATTGCTGAGTTACACAGAACCGCGAGTGAACTGCGTTTCACCTCTTAATTAGGGATTATGACTGGTGAGAGGGGGTGGGGGGTTTAAAAGTTGTTTCTCACTGTTTCTTTGCAGCATCATTGAGGCGCTTACAAATAAACATCTGGTGGGGTGTGAAGAATATTTCTGAATAGTTGTTGTCTTAGTTTAAAAGGGGAAAATCTCAGTGGTTGTGATGCCTTCTGCTGGCACGTTTTCCTGTTGCCCCCCCCCACCACCACCCTCCCCCGTGCCAGCACAGTCCACTAGTCTGTTTCCACTGGGCCTTCTGTTTTTGTGTGTGGCTGCTAAACCCGACCAGAGACTGGGCAAGTGCAAAGAGGATTTCCAACCATATGCTCCCATTATGATGGTTTTCTAATTACCTCCTCTCCTTGGTAATCTGAAATGTGTTATCTCAAGCACGCTCTGGTCAGGACCACTCATACAAAAAAAAAACAACAAAAAACAAAAAAACACAGCAGACTTACCCTCTTCTCCATGCGACTCGACAGCCAGTCCTACACCGGAGATGATGATGCGCTGCTCGGCTAGTCCAGCGAGCTTTGCTCCCTTCCTCTGTCCCTGGAGGGTCCTGGAAATAAAAGTGCATGTGTTTTCTTTTTAATGTGCAATAGCAGTTAAGTTGTAAACATGATTAACAACAAGCACAAACGACCTCCGAGGTTTCCACAAACACATAAGGCTGAGGATAGAAAACACTCAAGACCTGTTCCTTGTGTGTGTGTTTACTCCCGAGCCCATCGCGTTTTATATTACAGCATGATGGGACTGGAAATTTTATGGATGTCTGATATCCTGATACCCTACTGCCTATGTAAGCTTAATGGTTTATAATACGCTGATAGGTAGCCTAATAAACGCTCCCATAAAGCTCGCAGCCTATTAAATGCTGTAGTAAATGCTATTTCCTGGTGGTGTTGAGTAATACACGGCTCCGGTAAATGGTGTAAAATGTCCCACCGAGACGTAAATATTCGCCGTATCCAGTCCTGTCCGGGGCCGGGTCCGGTGTAGTCCAGAAACCCTGGAGAAAGGGAGCAGCGGCTTCCTGCAGCGCCTCGTCTCCGACTGGTGCGCCTCTCGCTCCGGCTCGCAGAGCCTCGGGATGCTCGGTGCTGTGGGAGACAGGGGGAGAGAAAAGCGTCCCTTCCTTTTTGGCTCCTTGTGCTCGCTGTCCGCGCAGCACACGGCGACAGGCTGGAAAATGTCACGGCTGGGAATGAGCGATGGTGTTTTCAGACTCAAGAGGAGCGAAGAAGAAGAACAAGGAGGAGGAGGAGGGGAAAGAGGAGGAGGAGGAGGAGGAGTAGTAGTTGTGGTGATGGTGGTGTTGGTAGTGGCGGTGTGTGGGGAGGTTTCGGAGGGTCAAAACGCGACGGGGTTCTTGGCTCCCCTCCCTCCCTCCATCCCTCCTCCTCCTCTTCCTCCTTTACTCCTCCTCCTCCTTATCACAAACACAAACGCCAGAGAAGAAGAAGAAGGAAAAGAAGAAGAGGAAGAAGAAGAAAACGAAGACCCCCTCTCGGTCGTATTATCTCGAGCTGATATCACTCCTCGTTCACCCACCCACCCTTCCCTCCTTTCTCCTCATCCTCGCCGCAGCTGCGCTATTATCATCCCGGGATAAACCGTGATAACGCTCTCACTCCGGCGGGATGGAGCATGTTCAACACGGATCTATTAAAGTCCGGACAATCAATTAAAATGCATCAAAATATTCCAAGTATGATTACAAATACAACTCATTTTAAATATTATCAACAAGAGAATTAAACATTGGACAATTAAAACCCATCATAAGTGAAGTTTTACCTGCAGCACATTTCGTTTTAAAGGTAATTTCAGTAAAAAAATAAATAAAAAGTTTGCATTAGTTGTCCCTCATGCAGATTCATAAATAAGTTTGAAGCGTGCTTAATGACAAGAAATTTACTGGCTGATAATAGCTTTCAAAGTGTTTTATTGTCTTTGTCAGCCTTTTGACACAGCCCAAATGTCACCCTTTGGCCCATGTCTTTGTTGATTGAGAGAGGTGAGAAAACAAAGCCATTATCGTGAGAAAGTTTTATTGTAACTACAGAAACAAAACTTTCACATGTTGGTGGAGGAGCTCGACTCCCAGTCTTGTGTTGTAAATGACACCGCAGTAACATAATAATTATTCAAAACGCTCCTCTTCCCCGGGTCCCGCTGTGAGGGGCCAACAGGCGGCCGCACTTCAATCAGCAGCGGCTTGGCGGGGAACAGCAGGCCGGGGCAGGCGTCTCCGTGGGCGGCCCGGAGTTTGACCGTGGGGCCGCCTTGTGAGGGCCCCGCAGCAGCCGTGCAGCTATGGGGTCTTTTCAACTCTGCAGGGTGCTGGTTTCCTACAGGGGGTGATCACAGCGCTCAACCCCCTCCTACACTGAGCTGGTAATACAGCCACGCAGCGGTGTCAATGGGCTGGAAACGGCGATCCAAGGCTTGTTTTCACTTTGTTAACAGGCTGAATGAAAAGGATTAACGTCCAAGTGTGCATCATCTGACGGATTCATGTCTGCAGTGATCTGGTTTCTTTTTATCTCCTTTGAGCTGCAATTCACAAATAGACTCCACTTTAATGTTGGGTAATGAGAGTGACGTCCTGAGCTGATCAGTCACCTGATTTTTCTTCAGGACACTTCAACTTGTTTGACCACTGCTCCATAAATCTCCCGTTTCTGTAACATTTATCTAACTGACTATTATCTAAACTTGTAGATTACACTCATTTACATCACAGACACTAAAGGACCTGTCGTTTTTATCACTGTGTGTCTGTGGGTTAACACCTACTTTTAACACGATTTATGTGTTAACACAACATATGTTGACAAGTTTATGCTGAAAGGTAACTTAATTGTATTGACTCAACCCAAAAGAAGACACGCAGATGTCCTAAAATAACTTATGTCCTTATAAAGACAGAACAAGATATTTACATCTGTTGAACATGAAGGTGAAATTAAATAAAACATAGGAATAAGATAAAGAGCAAAACATTTGAAGAACCTCGCTGGTCAGAGAAAGTCGTTCTATTATGGGAAATCAGAGGAAATACACTGAAACATCCCCCATTAACAAATGATTTAAATGCTGTTTGTTTTGTTTTATTTAAACCTCAATGTTCTGTTTGCAGTCCTGGAGAAAAAGACTCTCTTCAACATCTTAACACACACACACACACACACACACACACGTAACTTTGTTTTATCAGTTTAATGCTTGTGACTTTTCCTATTCATTTATTTTTGAGAATTGTTTATGAATATAATTTTGAACTGGTGACTGATGACAAGTCAAATGCTGAAAATTATGCATTAAGTCTGTTTGGAGTCTTCGAGACCCAATGCTGTAAAACACGGTTAAATAATATGGATTTTCATAATGCTCTCTGTCGGTGATTTGTGTCTCAAACCGCAGCAACTGAAATCCTGGACTTCAGTTCCTTGGGTTTATAACAGTGTTCAAACAGGAAGTCACACCTCTCTCAGGTCTAATGGACCCTAAACATCGGTAATGTCACCATGTAACTTAAGACACTCTGCGTTTCTTAGTCTGAGAAGTTCTTTTAAACAAAGTTCCTTTGATATTTTTCCTTTTTTAAACAAGTAATACCCTAAATTTGCTCATGCATAGCCCCTATAAGATATAGCCTCCTATGCAACATGACATATTTCCTTATTCAGTATAATAACAATACTTTATGGTCATTATTGTATTTTTCCATCTTCATCAGATGTGTCAGCCCAGTTTGTGTCTCAGGTAGGAGTTACCAGTTCAACATTTCCTTTAAATTATTTTAGAATATCTTATTCTTGCTGTAGTAGTAGTTTACCAATATAATTATCTAAAATCTGAAAGTTTGAGCATCATGTCACTTATTCTGCACCCTGTGCGCTTTCCTTGTGTGCACACCATTTACATGTTGAAAGAACAAATACATGTGTGACAGTTGATTAAAAATACACTATAATGTAAATTGAAGGTTTCTTCTTGTTGTTGCTCTCCTGTAAGAATCCGCCTGCTCTCCTGCACCACAGAGTCAGGCAGGTTCACTGTGGGACCATTCTGCATGTCAGTGCTGCTGCAGTTATTTGTCACTCCCTGTCGAGGCTCAAGTGCTCCCTCCTCTGCGGCCAACAAGGCCTGTTGAGTGTGCACAAGCAGACACAGGCGTGTATGCATGTTTGTGTGTGTGTGTGTTTATGGCTTTGTGTGCATACCTGTTTGCTTGTGTGCACGCTGCTGTGTCAGTGTCAACGTGTTCATCTTTTAAGTTGTGCCTCAGTGCAGGCGATGCCCAAGGCTAGAAAACAGGAAACAACAAGCGAGGAGTGAGAGTGTGTGGAACTGTGGATGTTCACCTGCATGGCTGCATGTGTCTTGTGTCTTTGCATCCTCCTGTATGACAATAGAAACAGAGTTGGCCAGTTTACAGAAAGGTCAGACTGAATTGCAAACAGAAGATTTCAGACTTTACTTCTTGTCCTCTGCAGTTTTTCCCAACATGATGCAGTTGCTGCAAACAGGAGATAATCCATCATCTGCAAGGTGAAGAACAACAACAGTAACAGTAACTGCTGCTGCCTTCACCTCGCCACAAAAGTCAAGTTTACTTGACTTCACCCAAGAGAGATGGAGGTTAGGCTAGAAGGCCACCCAGCCTTGTTGACTCCGGTGACTCCGCCATTAAGAAAATACGGCTGCTGCTGTGACCTCTGGCAACCACACACAACCACCCGAAACATCAGAGAGCTGTGACCCTCCACCGCCTGCATGAGAGAGAGAGGGAGCCAAGTGATAGAGGGAAGTAAAGGGAAGAAAGAGAGGGATGAGGGAAAGAAATGTAGGGGTAAAAGTGAGGGGTAGTCAGGGAGGGGTAGGGGGTGCAGAGTGCATTTTTATGAGCCTGTGCCTCTCCAGTTTCTGGGTCGTCTGGCTGCATAGACATAAATTTTCTCCCTCCCCTCCCCTCCCTTCCCCCATCTCTCCTTTTTTCTTCTGGCACACTCGCCAAGCAAATCCACCCTTATCGACCTGCTCTTGCAGCCTGTTTGCAAACTTTGCCTCCAGTTTCGCTTGTTCTGTCCCACCTGGGCCATTCCTCTTCCTTTATATCCCCACTGTTACCCGTCTGGGCTCTCACTTCAGCTCTCCACCATCTTTCCCTCCCTCCTTCCCTCTGCCCCCTCTTCTCCATCTCTTTTTGTTTATAATAAGCCAACACTACCTTTTCTCCCTTCTGTTATTTTCTTCCTCTCCTTCTCCAATCCCTCCCTCCCCTCCTCCCCCTTATAGATGGAGATTAACTGGGGAGTGCAGCGCCATCCGTCCTCGTGACTGTTTGTTGTTAAGGAGATGGATGGAGGCTCCCTCTGCCAGCCCCACGCAGCCACAATTACACCAGCCGCCATGATGGATGGAGGGGAGGGAAAGGAGGGGAGATGGAGAGAGGGAGATACAGAGAGGGGCATCTATCACGCCCCTTAATCTACCTGTCACTGCAGAGGCTTGGGTGGAGGAAGGGTGGTGGTGGAGTGGGATGGGGTTTGTCGACTTTACCTTGACTGCTGGTCAAAGGTTTATTTTTTTAAACTGAATTTGTTTCTTCGTTTTTTTTTGTTTTTTTTCTGGAGAATTAGGCCTGTGAGGACTGGACTCATTAAATGTCCTGATCTTTCCAATTGATTTCCCAGAGGTTATTGGATTCTGTTGAACATACTCTGTGCATGTGTGTGTGTGTGTGTGTGTGTGTGTGTGTGCACGTGTGTTCGACAGGCATCAACAGGTAATAAGATTCAGTTGCTGTTGGCCTTTGCAGAAATGCATGCTTTGCATAAGGTCAAATTTTTTTGCATAGACTCCATTACGGCGTATACACACTATCAAGCTGCATGTAAGCATGCAAACAACTGACTAGCACTCACACACTGCCTCGCTAAGTTGTTCATCATCATCTGTAGCTATTGCTTCTCCACTCCACCCACACACACACTCACCCGCGCAGAACCTTCAGTTAATCCTGATACCTGTTGAAGGTATCAAAGCGGTGACCTATCATAGAGTAAATCTGCATACATTACCTGTAATGCGTCTCCATTTTTCCCCACAGTGCTACAGAAATATTATGGAAAGTAATCTGAGGTCGCCTACCCTCTCACCCACCCTCCTCCTCCTCCTCCTCCTCCCATCCCCATCTCCCTCTTCCATCTCCTCATCTGTCCAGAGGAGTGAGAGATGGCATGGAGGGATTAATACTCTTCCGCCCAAGCCAACCCTGGGAATGATAGATGGACAGATGCAGGAAGGGGAGCGGAGGAGGAGAGAGGGAGAGATTAAAGGAGAGAAGTCTGAGGGTTCATAAATCCAAAGTGGGAGACCTGGTCCGCATCACACACTAACAAGATCTGCAAGAAATCCATGATGAGGGAGAGAGAGAGAGAGAGAGCAAGAGAGTGAGAGAGAGAGAGAGATGGGAGCGGTGTAATAGCATTAGATGTAATCTAATCATGGCAATAAGATGTGAATGGATGAGGGTGAGCGTGGTGATTATGCAGAAGAGGGATGGTGGTGTGTTGATGAAGCTTTGAGGCGTGAGGACAGGTCTTGTTATTGGACAACAGATCAACAGGGTTATAGTTCTCACTGTGGAGCTTCCTGTCGCAGAGACTCCATAAAAAACACAGTTCACGAGGCTTTTTCTGTGATTTTTGTCGCCGTAACCGAAACCAAGTGAAAGCAACGGTAACACAGTGGGGGCAGCACGGCTGTAAAATGCCTCAGTTTGATGTAAATGTGAATCAGAAACAAAATGTGTAGATTCAAACAGTTTGCATCAGTCGTGAAACATGCACCTGTGCACTCATTCATATGTGTGTACGTGTGTGTGTGTGTGTGTGTGTGTGTGTGTGTGTGATGTTAAGAATCAACCGTAAGTGTATAAAGTGCAGTCGTACAGCTGTGATCTGACTCGGATCAGATAGAGTGCTCCTTCACCTCCCTCCTCTCCTCCGTGACCCCGCCACCACCCCCCACCCCCCACCCCCCACCCCCAACTAAAGTCCCCAGCCTCCCCTCCATCCACCAGGCCACATTTTTCATGGCCCAGCTGTCGGAAGGCCGTGATTGGTTGGCCCAGCAGACAGATAGCCGATAGGTTCTGATTAATAGTTGAGGCCCAAGAACTTCCTCATTGATCAACGGGACAGGCTGCAGGAGGAGGAGGAGGAGGAGGAGGAGGAGGAGGAGGAATGGAGGAGAGAGAAAAAGCATGCCCTGTCGCTCTGCAAATGCTGGCTGATAACCATGATAGTGGCTTTTGGGGTGTGTGTGTGTGTGTGTGTGTGTGTGTGTGTGTGTGTGTGTGTGTGTGTGTCTATTTGTGGGTTGTTTACTAAAGCAAAGAGATGAGGTGTTGTTGGAAACAGGATGAAATGGAGACACTGCAGTGAAAAAGTGCTTCAGGTTTACTCACTTTCTTTCCCTCTGTCCCGCTGTCTAAAGTGTCTGATAGCATCTGTGAGTTTCCCATGAATAAGAAAGCACTATGTTATCAAACAAAACACACACACGGCCTATTCGGCCAACAGCAAATGTCTCAGAGGCCTGTCTTCATGTAACTGTGTGTGTGTGTGTGTATGTGTGTGTGTATTGATATTTGGATGTCATCAGCTCCACAAGAGAAATTTCTATTCATTTTTATCTATTCTGTTCATGATGTGTTTGATTAACATGGCTTTTAATACATTTACATTAAGAATGTTTGTTTCCCAGGTACATTTGTATGTGTGTGTGTGTGTGTGTGTGTGTGTGTGTGTGTGTGTGTTACAGTATCTAGGTATGTGGGTGTGTGTGTCCCCTCCTGCTGCTCTGTCCAGCCTCTGGTTGATTGATGATCTCCCACTCCCACAGGGTCAGTGGGGTCATGACCTCCCACTTTTGACCCCCCCACTGAGAAGGTCTCACACACACACACACACACACACACACACGCACACACACACACACACACACACACACACACACACACACACACACACACCAGCCCATACGGAAACAGATGGCCTCAGGACAACTGGTGCTTCCTCACCTTTCATTATTTCTCTCACTGTCACACACACAACTATCAAACGGTCTCACATTCACTGATTCACTGTGACTTTCAATTTCCCTACTCCAAATCACGAACAAGTGCCCCATAATGACAGATATAAATCTGTGCTAAATGTTATTTACAGCAACAGATAAATGCCAGTGTGGTGAACTGTCCTGAGGTTTGATTCCCTGTGTTTTACAGAGGAGGAGGATCAAGAAATGAGTTTGACAACATGTTGCAATATCACGCCCTAGTGGTATGACTAGGTTATGGCAACTGATGAATAATGGAAAATAAAAAACAAACCACAGCCATGAAATTATATTTTACTGACCACACAAGAGCTAATAAAGAAGAAGCCATAAAATCATTGTTATTACAAGTATAAACACAAATTCAGTAGATAAATATTAAATCTAACAAAACTAGGAAATTCAATACAAGCCCAAATTAAAGTTAGGGAGGGGAAATGATCATCAAAGCTGTCTCTGCATTTCCAAATGTAATGTAACATCTGCAAAGACACACAAATAATTCTTAAAAAAAAATAAAACCAAACAACACAAACACACACATCGAGCGCAGTGCTATGAGATGGTTATAGATGGAGAGTGAGGAGGTGGAAGACAGGGGACAGGAAATGGAGGATGAGGAGGATGAAGCAGAGCAGGCAGACACACCAGCTTATTAACTGCTTCTTATCACTTTCAGGGAACAGTGATAAGAGCTGATCAGGTTATAACGTGATCTGATCAGACTCCTCTTTTCTCCATCTTCTCCTGGGCAGCTGTCTTCAGCCAACGGGCCACATGATTCTCAATCTCCTGAGAGATGGAGGGAAGGGAGGGAAAAACAATGTGTTAAAGATCATCAAAACATACACACGTTCACTTTAATATGTTGCAGCAACCAACTAAAATGTTAGATAAATACAAGTGTTGAATTTGACACATTTCAAGCAAAAACATTAAGAATATAAAATATTCAGGTCCTCCACGTAGACCTTAGGTGATCATGGGATGCTAACAGTTTTCACTGAAAATAATGATGTATAATACAACTAACACAGCTACTAGTAATGATTATAATAGGATCATTTCAAATCAATTCCGTATCAAGGACAGATTCACATTTTTTGTGTGTGTATCAAACAATACACTCCTCACATGTAGATGCACATTGAAATAGTTATTCCTCCTCTCCACATAGAGTGGCCCCCATTCATATGACTGAGAAACCTCATACTAACTTTGATTAAACTTTAAAATGCTTATTTTCCGTGCAAAATGAGGGATGTAGATTTTGTAAACAGCATAAGGAGGGGATGAACAGAAAGTGACAACAACCAGTAACTTTCAAAGTACACACGGGCATGGGAGGGTTGGTTTAAGGCAGACATGACAAAAGGTGAACAACCCTTGAAGACAGTACTATATGAATGAATTGGTGAGGTGTATGTACCTTTCTGGCTTTCTTGAGCGAGCGACGGTCTGTGACTCTTCTGCTCGTCATATCTGCACAGTGAGCGGTGTCTTCAATGAAGATGGTCTGAGCCTCTTCCTCTTCCTCAGTCCTGTCCTGGACCACCGACAGCTCCTGCCATGGGTCAATTCCACCTGTGGAAATGGTGATATAGATTTTTCAATAACTCGATAATATCCTGAGGCGATTCCCTCACTTCTTTGCTCCCTTACTTTAGTTTACGCCTTCTGTTCAGTCATTTATTTTGTTGATTCTAAAGTATTTTCTTGTCTCACCATTGACATAAAGGACCCTGTGTGTGTGAGGTTTGTCTCCTCCATAGTAGGTGTTTGTGAAGGTGATGCGTGCTGGCAGGGAATGCTGGGAAATGCCAAACAGGAGGGGACAGAGCTGAGTATCAACCTGCAGGGTCAGCATCCCGGAGAACGGACAAGTGGCATCCTCACAAGTCTGGTCTACACACACACACACACACACACACACACACACGCACACACACACACACACACACACACACACGCACACACACACACACACACACACACACACTCCCACACACAAAAAAAAGGGGTTCAAGAAATAGAAAGAATGATGTTGATTATGTTTGTGTTGTTGCTGTGTGTTGTGTGTGTGTGTGTGTGTGTGTGTGTGTGTGTGTGTGTGTGTGTGTGTGTGTGTGTGTGTGTGTGTGTGTGTGTGTGTGTGTGTGTGTTGTACAGAAGCCAAACTCAGTGCAGGTCTGGTAGGTCCACTGTCTTGCTGTTCTCCTGCTTGAATGGAGGGACGTGTCCATCAGATCCTTCACTGCTTTCTCATGGGAGATGTCCAGACAGGGTTCTTCACTGGTGGAGCGGTAAATCTGCAGAAGTCACCCACATACACACAGAGAAATACCAATAAACAAAGAAACAAACCCTAGTCACTAATGAGAAATTCACAAATATAGTGCAACAGTGACATCTTGTGGGGGTTTCAATCTGTGCGTGACCACTGAATGGGGTCATCTCTGTACTGTGTGTTCTCCATACCTGTGCAAGTCTAACAAGGCGGTTGTAAGCCTTCATCTCCTCCTCATATGCCTCACTCTTATTGGTCATGAGACCACAGAGCTCATTGATAGACATGAGGAACCCTTCTTCATTGTACTGCACCGTTCCCATGAAGATGTCGGCCAGGTTTTGCATCAGTTCAATCTGAGGTCAAGATGTACGGCAAAAGAGTTGTTCTGCACTCAGAAGGGTGAGGGTTAGGAGGTCTAAACAGTTAGCACTGAATGGTTTAAATATAAGTAATGGCTGAAATAGCCAAAATAGATAAATGATTAAAATAATAAGCTAAAAGTAATGAATACACAGATTAAATAGTTAGTTAGTGATAGATAAATGGTTGAATCATAACGTCAGCTTCTAGTACAAATGCAAACATGACCAGATTAAACACTGACAGTTCAATTGTATGAAAAAATATTGTAAAAACATCCACTTTCATATAGTTAGTAAGACTGTTAAGTTGTTGTTGTTATTGTCTTTCGGCTGCTCCCATGAAGGGTCACCACAGTGGATCGATACATGCACATTTGGCTTTGGCATAGGTTTTACCCCAGATGCCCTTCCTAGCACAACCTTGGTTCGGGGGGAGCCAAGTTTTGAACCACCAACCTAGGAATCGGCAGCCAACCTGCTCATGGCCCCCTACTAGTAATAATGTCAAGTAACATCTCTAATTTAATCTAAAATCTAAATAAAAATCAATCAATTTAAATAAAGAGAACAAAAATGCCCAAACAACAGATGGTTCTTTGCTCTCTAACTAAAGCTTTTCATAAAAACCAAAGCTGTCACCTGATCATCAGGATCCTTTGGGATCTGACAGCAGCCAAAGTCCACAGCCACCTGGCTGACATTGCCGCCCATTAGGGCTACTTCCACAGCAGCAAAGGCTTCCTGCACAACAGCCAGACACTACAGGAAGAAGATGAGGGTGAATTTAACACAGGAATTTAATGCCTGTCATATGATGCACAGACAGGTGTCTGTCTTCACACCTTTTCTGAGCCACCGACTGCTTCGTTCCTGAGACTCAAGCCCACAACCTGAAACAGAGAAAGTGACAGATGTGAGAGTGAGGATGTTGTTATTTAAAGGAGGCATGTCTCACTAGCCTAATTAGTGATAACAAGCACCTCTGTTTATGTAACATGCAGATCTGGAGGTACAATTGAGGACACTGAGGTCTTGGTAATGTGTCTGGGAATTTGGACAGGGCTGATGACCTGAGAAGAAGTTCACAGTCTATGAATACAAAACAAAGACTAATTACAATGAAAATAAAATAATGGGATTTTGAATTATCAACCACATTTACTGTGTTTGTGTTGTGTTATGTTTGTGTTGTTGTGGAGATTAAAATCAGCATTTAGACCACCACCAGGGAATAAAATTCTTCTTCTCAGATTTCCTTTTAGTAGTGTAGGTATTTCGACTTAAGTATTTTAAAAATCCTGTCTACAGCTCTGGTAATATGTTAATATTATGACCATGGATCATGTCAGTTTACATTGTTGTAGGCAGAGAAATCTAGCTTCGCCTTTACAGGAGCAGAGGAGGCCACAGCTCCGTACACTAGATGAGGAAACTGCAAGAGGAAGAGAGATAGAGGAGAGACAAGCTTAAAAACAAATTAATATATAGGTCATTGCATTCATGCATTCATATAATGCCTCATGTGTTATATATTTTTTGGCCTCTGTGGCATTTGCAGAAAAGAGAAAGTTTTTAGTGTGTTTCACCAACTAATATCAAAGGACAAGTCTGGTAATATTCTACATTTTAACCAACTAACCAAAAATCCTATATTATTACAAGTATCTGTCTCTGTATCCAAAACCCCATATAGCTTATTCCTCTGTGCCATTGAGCTACATTGTTGTACAAAAAGTGTTAAAAGCACATTAGTGAATCACATTGTTGCACTGGTTGACATGTTCATTACTATGAACACGGTGACTGTAACTTTATTTTGTGAGTCAGTCCCACACACACCATGACACTGCTGTGAATACTCTAATATAGTAGCCAGATTCGCCCATAAAATAGTGCCTAATAAATATACTATTTACTCATGTTTTACAGTCACTATGTTAATTTGTTGATGATAAGAGCATAGAGAAAAAAACGGCAGCCTTATTCTTTAATTCTGAACAAACACACTAGATTATTGATGATCTAAGGCCTGAGTGTTACACTGAATCAACTGCAGGATCTCTGCAGTGACCATAAGTCAAAGCCAGCCTCTTATGTGTTAGTAACATCTTTTTCTTTTAGTTTGTGGTCTAAGTGGTAGACGTGATAGGTGGTTGTGAATTCATTAAATGATATATATCCTTTCTTATCTCCTTTAGGGTTTAAAAAAGAGCAGCCATTATAACAGGAGAGGAAATATTGCCTTTGGACTACTCTACAGAAATGTTCACACTGCAGCGATTCCCCACCAACTGATTCTTATCAGTGGATTTAAATATAATCATTCTGGTTGGATATGTTTTTGTAAAAGGATACAGAGCTACAATAAGAAAAATCTCTGCATACATGTTCTCATAATCAAGGTCAATTGTCATGCATAGCGATAGCTCAAGCATATGAGCGCCCAGGCTGTGCGCCTCTCTCTCCCTTCTTCTTCTCTGTCTCCTTCCTGTTACTCTCCGCAGGTCCTCCCGCCTCCAGAGATGCAGCTGTAGAGTCTGGATCTGCAACTGCAAACAACCTACTGCACCCATAATCCTGTTTAATACCTGCTGCTAAACCTGCTAAAATTTACTATAATTAATAATGATGATTATTAATGTTATTAGCTGTCATTACTATTTTTATCAGTAGGAGCACTACAGTTGCCATTACATTACTATTGCTGTTACTGCTGCTGCTATCACTATTATTAATATTTCTATCACTGGACGTTCTTGTTCTTTTCCTCTGTGCTCTCTCTTGCTCTCTCTCTCACTCTCTCTCTCTCTATCTATCTCTCCAACCCAACCGGTTGAGGCAGATGGCCGCCCACCCTGAGTCCAGTTATGCTCGAGGTTTCTGCCTCTTAAAAATAAGTTTTTCCTTGCCACTTTCACCTACTGCTTGCTCTGGGTGGGAATTGTTGGGTCTGTGTAAATGATATTATAAAATGAAGGGCTAGACCTGCTGTATTTGGAAAGTGCTTTGAGATAACTTATGTTGTGAATTGGCGCTATACATATAAAAATTGACTTGACTTTGTCTTTTAAAGAATTATTAGTTAAGAGAGCAGAGCCTTAAGCCTTATGCATCTTTGAATGCCTCATATTTGGGTCCAGTCCTTCACCTTTCCTCTGAACCAGGCAGAAAGAGCTCCAGAGTAGGAGCCTCCAAAGCTGATCCAGGTGTTCCTGTGGCTCAGATTGAAGCTTTGGCTGATGTACTGGTGGAATACAGCCAAGTCAGCAAGCCTGGACCAAAGAGACAGAAATACACAAGTTCAGCATCTTTCACTTGGAAAAAAAACAGGGACGCAATAACCCCGCCACCCCTCCAAAACAAAGAGACTAGCTTTTTTAATGCTGTCAACCAAATGGTTTATTAACATATAAGATCTGAATTGACATTCAGAAATTCCCATACGCGAATTTAATATATGTACATTTGTTGAATTGCCATATATGAAATGCATTGTTTTCAAAATTCGGTTATGTGTTTTTTTGATATTAATAAATTACCTCATTGCCTTGTGAGTTTGGTTTTTGGGACAGGGGCAAAAAAACCTCCTTATACATATGTTGTGTCAAAAAAACTTATTATAATAAGGCTTAAAAATATCAGAAAACTTTATAGTATACTATAGCAAAAAATATCAAAAAAGGACAAAGTATAGTAAGGAAAAAAAAATTTCAAGAAATGTCATAGTATAGTAAGTAAATGAAACAGTATTCTAAGGCGTAAAAATTACAAAAAACGTCATAGTATAGTATGGCATGAAAATATTTAAAAAACATCATAGTATAGTATGGTATAAAAATATTTAAAAAACGTCATAGTATAGTATGGTATAAAAATATTAAAAAAACGTCATAGTATAGTATGGTATAAAACGTCAAAAAAACATCATAGTATATAAAGGCTTAAAAGGTCATAAAAACGTTATAGTATGGTAAGGCATGAAATGAAATAGTATTGTAAAACATAAGAATGCCAAAAAACGTCATAGCATAGTATGGCATAAAATGTCAAAAAAACATCATAGTATATTAAGGTATAAAAGGTAATAAAAACGTCATAGTAAGGTAAGGAATATAACAAAAAAGTACAGTAAGGTATAAAAATGCCAAAAGACATTATAGTATAATATGGCATAAAAATGTCAAAAAACGTCATAGTATAGTATGGCATAAAATGTCAAAAAAACATCATAGTATATTAAGGCATAAAAGTTCATAAAAACGTCATAGTATGGTAAGGAATATAACAAAATAGTACAGTAAGGCATAAAAATGCCAAAAGAAGTCATAGTATAGTATGGCATAAAATGTCAAAAAAACATCATAGTATATTAAGGCATAAAAAGTCATAAAAACGTCATAGTATGGTAAGGAATATAAAAAAATAGTAATGTAAGGCATAAAGATGAAAAAAAACATCATAGTATAGTATGGCATAAAAATGTAAAAAAACGTCATAGTATAGCATGGCATAAAATGTCAAAAAAACGTCATAGTATATTAAGGCATAAAAGGTCATAAAAACGTCATAGTATGGTAAGGAATATAACAAAATATTACAGTAAGGCATAAAAATGCCAAAAGACATTATTGTATAGTATAGCAAAAAACGTAAAAAAAACATCATAGTATATTAAGGCATAAAAGGTCATATATCTGTCATAGTATGGTAAGGAATGAAACAAAATAGTAGAGTAAGGCATAAAAATGCCAAAAGACGTCATAGTATAGTATGGCATAAAATGTCAAAAAAACGTCATAGTATATTAAGGCATAAAAGTTCATAAAAACGTCATAGTATGGTAAGGAATATAACAAAATAGTACAGTAAGGCATAACAATGCCAAGACACGACATAGTATAGTAGGGCATAAAAATGTTAAAAAACGTCATAGTATAGTATGGCATAAAATGTCAAAAAAACATCATAGTGTATTAAGTCATAAAAGTTCATAAAAACTTCATAGTATGGTAAGGAATATAATAAAATAGTACAGTAAAGCATAAAAATGCCAAAAGACATTATAGTATAATATGGCATAAAAATGTCAAAAAACGTCATAGTATAGTATGGCATAAAATGTCAAAAAAACATCATAGTGTATTAAGTCATAAAAGTTCATAAAAACTTCATAGTATGGTAAGGAATATAATAAAATAGTACAGTAAAGCATAAAAATGCCAAAAGACATTATAGTATAATATGGCATAAAAATGTCAAAAAACGTCATAGTATAGTATGGCATAAAATGTCAAAAAAACATCATAGTGTATTAAGTCATAAAAGTTCATAAAAACTTCATAGTATGGTAAGGAATATAACAAAATATTACAGTAAGGCATAAAAATGCCAAAAGACATTATAGTTTGGTATAGCAAAAAACGTAGAAAAAACATCATAGTATATTAAGGCATAAAAGGTCATATAACTGTCATAGTATGGTAAGGAATGAAACAAAATAGTAGAGTAAGGCATAAAAATGCCAAAAGACGTCATAGTATAGTATGGCATAAAATGTCAAAAAAACATCATAGTATATTAAGGCATAAAAGTTCATAAAAACGTCATAGTATGGTAAGGAATATAAAAAAATACTAATGTAAGGCATAAAGATGAAAAAAACATCATAGTATAGTATGGCATAAAAATGTCAAAAAAGTCATAGTATAGTATGGCATAAAATGTCAAAAAAACGTCATAGTATATTAAGGCATAAAAGGTCATGAAAACGTCATAGTATGGTAAGGAATATAACAAAATAGTAAAGTAAGGCATAAAAATGCCAAAAGACATCATAGTATAGTATGGCATAAAAATGTCAAAAACGTTATAGTATACTATGGCATAAAATGTCAAAAAAACATCATAGTATGTTAAGTCATAAAAGGTCATAAAAACGTCATAGTATGGTAAGGTATCAAATGAAATAGTATCGTAAGGCATAAAAATGAAAAAAAACATCGTAGTATAGTATGGCATAAAAATGTCAAAAAACGTCATAGTATACTATGGCATAAAATGTCAAAAAAACGTCATAGTATATTAAGGCATAAAAGTTCATAAAAATGTCACAGTATGGTAAGGAATATAACAAAATAGTACAGTAAGGCATAAAAATGCCAAAGGACGTCATAGTATAGTATGGCATAAAAATGTCAAAAAACGCCATAGTATAGTATGGCATAAAATGTCAAAAAAACATTATAGTATATTATGGCATAATAGGTCATAAAAACGTCATAGTATGGTAAGGAATATAAAAAAATAGTACAGTAAGGCATAAAAATGCCAAAAGTCGTCATAGTATAGTATGGCATAAAAATGTCAAAAAACGCCATAGTATAATATGTCATAAAATGTCAAAAAAACATTATAGTATAATAAGGCATAATAGGTCATAAAAACGTCATAGTATGGTAAGGAATATAAAAAAATAGTACAGTAAGGCATAAAAATGCCAAAAGTCGTCATAGTATAGTAGGGCATAAAAATGTCAAAAAACGTCATAGTATATTAAGGCATAAAAGGTCATGAAAACGTCATAGTATGGTAAGGAATGTAACAAAATAGTAAAGTAAGGCATAAAAATGCCAAAAGACCGTCATAGTATAGTATGGGCATAAAATATGTTTAAAAAACGTCATAGTATAGTATGGCATACAAACGTCAAAAAAAACTATCATAGTTATATTAAAGTTATAATGGTCATAAAAACTGTCATAGAATGTTGGTAAGATCAATCAAATAGTAAAGGAAACTGCAAAAAAATTCGTAAGGCATAAAAATGAAAAACATCCATAGTCAAATAGTAGGCATAAAATGTCAAAAAAACGTCATAGTAATAGATATGGTACATAAAATGTCAAAAAAACTTCATAGTATAATTAAGGCATAAAAAGGTCATAAAACGTCATAGTATGGTAAGGAATATAAAAAAATAGTAAGTAAGGCATAAGCAATAAAAACGTTAGTATAGTAGCATAAAAACTACGTCAAAACACGTCATAGTTATATTAAGGCAGAAAGGTCAGAAAACGTCATAGTATGGTAAGAATCACTAAAAAAATAGTAGCAGTAAGGCATAAAATGTCAAAAAATTCATAGTATATTAAGGCATAAAATGGTCATAAAACCGTTCATAGTATGGTAGGATATAAAGAAATAGTAAAGTAGGCATAAAATGCCAAAGACTGTTCCTAGTTAGTATGGCATAAAATGTCAAAAAAACATATAGCTATATTTAAGGCATAAAAGGTCATAAAAAACGATGCATAGTTAATGGTAAGGAATGTAACAAAAATAGTAAGTAAGGCATAAACAATGCCAAAGACGTAAGTAAATAGTATGGCATAAAAATCAAAAACGTCAATAGTATAGTATGGCATAAAAAATTAAAAAACGTCATATAATATTGCATAAAATGTCAAAAAAACTATAGTATATTAAGGCATAAAAGGTCATTAAACGTCAATAGTATGTAAGGAATAAACAAAATAGTAACGTAAGGCATAAAAATGCCAAAAACATCATAGTTATAGTTATGGCATAAAAATGTCAAAAAACGTCATAGTATACTATGGCATAAAATGTCAAAAAAACTCATAGTATATTAAAGCATAAAAGGTCATATAATAGTCATAGTATGGTAAGGATATGAACAAAATAGTAAGTAAGGCCATAAAAATGTCAAAAAAACCGTCATAGTATAGTATGGCATAAAAATGTCAAAAAACGTCATAGTATATTAAGGATAAAAGTCCATAAAACGTCATAGTATGGTTAAAGGATATAACAAAATAGTATAGTAAGGGCATAAAATGCCAAAAGACTCATAGTAATATAGGCATAAAAATGTTAAAAAAACGTCATAGTATAGTATGGCATAAAAGTCAAAAAACATCATTAGTATATTAAGGCATAAAAGGTCATAAAAACGTTCATAGTATGGTAAGGTATCATGAATAGAATCGTAAGGCATAAAAAATG